TTTTTTTTGCTTGAACGAGTGTGTCTGTGTGCTGCTTGTGCTGGGTCTCCTTCATTGGTGCACTGCACAGTAGCCCTTTGTTAGTTTCCGTTTCGTAACCCATGTGCTGGGTCTCCTTCGTTGGTGTACTGCACTGGGCTTGTATCGTTCTGTCGTATTAGTTTTTTGTCTTTTACCCTTATTGTTTGTTCTTTTGCGTGTGTGTTCAATTTTTGTTTCCAGTGAGGTGGGGTTCGATTCCCCAGCGATGTTGGCGACTGGTGTCCCTCGTTTGCTGCGGTCCCAACCCTAAGGCCTTGCACTCTAGCCATGGGTTGGAGTAGACATTATGGTCGGCAGGCATCGCACCGCCCTCACGGGAGCCTGACCGTCCGCTTCAAACATAAAAAAAGCCTACGCTGAAACTATTAAATTTCGGGTAATGACCCATTTAAAGAAGTTGATTTCTTTTCAAGCAAGGAAGGTGCCGACAAATACATTGGGTATGCAACTAACAGTGTGATCACAGTCTCGCCTAATTTTCCCTCACAGGATCGTTTTTCGATCGAACGGCCAGCCACTTTGATAATCCACTATGTAAGTGCTTCTGATACTGGGACGTATATTTTAGGAGTTAAGCTGCAGTCAGCGAAAAGAAACTACGGCTTCATCGACCTAGATTTTCTCGGTAAGCCGATGTAATTATGCATGATGTTTTGTATGCATAACGGTCCTAATGCAGTGAAACCTTTATTAAGTGGATCCCCAGTCAAGCAGACACCTTCTTTTAAGACTAAGCCGGGTTTTACATTTCTCTTAAAAATGAACTCCTATTCAGTTGATACCTTTATTGAGCGGACGTAGACACCATTAAGTGGACGTAGACACTAAAATTAAGAGTTTCCACTTGCGAATAAAGAACATGAGAAACGAACCCAAAGATGAGCAGTTAGTTCGTAAATTCCCCCACGGGATTTCTCCACGGACAAGATTATGACACCATGATTTATAAACTATTATATGAAAATGCTTTTCTCTGAATAACTCAGACGCTTTTGGAGATTTGATTTTTTGAAAATCAATTTACTCGGATAAAATTAAAAACGATTTTTTCGGCCTCTACTAAGTAACCTTCTTAGTTGATCACTCCTTTGTAAGTTAACCGTAATTATATAAAGTAGCTAAATCTTCTAGTCTAGGTTGAATTGCATCTTGACTGGTTTTAAATAAAAAAATACTGTAGATTGTTGACAGGTTGTTTAAACAAATCTTCTTTAATATGAACTTGTCATCTCCAAAGTGATTTCACCCAATTCCTACTGGCAACCACTCACTCTTTTTCACCTTATAGTTCTTCGTCGGTGTTGAACTCTTGTTTGACGGTTGATTTTTTTTTTCATTTTTACGTCAATGGGCCGTTTCTCCTAATGGCGAGCAACCACGTAGAAATAACCATTGACGATGAGTGGACATGTGTGGCAGACACGTAGGATAGACCTTTTCCTGATTAAGAGCTAAAAAGTCACTTGTTACTTTGCCAATGAGCAAATACAGATGTCGAGTAATCACCAGCTTATCATATGCGATAATGACGCAGTAATTTGGTTTTTTTTTTGACTAAGCTGAAAATGTAAATCGGCCGCCGTAAAGGTTTAAAAGCTGACGTTTCGAGCGTTAGCCCTTCGTCAAAGCGAATTGAGGAATTTTGAATCACGGTATGTGTTTATGTGCAGAAAGTGGGGCTATACTATTGATGGCAACATGGTGATAAGAAAAGCAAGAATAAAGTAGTAGAGGAAAGAGGGTTCGTTGATACCAATGGGATTAAGAGAGC